AAAAGTACACCGTCGAATTGATTCCCGTTTCCGCTGCTCTATGACGGGTTAGGATAGAGAGGGTATTAGCAGCGCAAGGGGTGGCTTGGAGAAGATACTGAGGGTTTTGCGAAGGATGGGAAAAGCGAATGAATAGGAGGGGGTAGTAGAAGGCTGCGGCCAGAGTGATATATCTGTATTCTGATATATCTGTATTCGTGCGATATGCCCTGCCTGCGTTCATTCTGGGGCATGCAGAGAGCTTTGAACCACTCTATCGTTTGCTCGCACAAGCACTACCAGAAAGGTTAGAATAGAGGTTCCGCTCAGTGAGTGCTAAGGTTGTAACGGGTGCCGGATCAGTTACTAAGATCCTATTCAACTGTCCCGAAAAAGCTCTACCGGGGTGGAGGATCATCAGTATGCACGGGTGGGAAAATTGAGCCGTTGAACCCCCAGGTGCCGTAGAAACCTGAACAATCGGTCCATGTTCTACGTAGTTGAAAATTCCCTGCTTTGGGAATGGGTGAAAGACATGGTAAAGAGAGAGCTACTCGACCCCGCTGAGACAAAAAAGTTAAAATTTTTTTTTAAAAAAAAAACGCTAAACCTTACCAGAGGAGGCAACTTCAACGACATAGCACTTGGTCCAACCATTCGAGTTCCTACGGTGTTCGTGTATTGGATGTCACTTCAAATTACGAGTGACAAGTAATGAACCATCCCATGGGCAAGATACGGTTAGTACTCACGTGCACCCACACACAGATCAAGCCACGGTATGGTGATTTGAGCACACCGCTCACGTCACATCACATTACACAATCAGTATTTGCAAACATAAACATAAACCTGGACAGGACCAGACATAACATTAATTTATATCGCCGAAAAAAGCCGTATGTTGTGAATGTCCGTAACGCAGTAACGATCTCTATCCCCTATTTTCTATCAAACTCCGAAAAAAAAAAATCAAGAAATTAGAGTAAACATTAAGAAAAGGAAAAAAGTTCCCTACAAGAGACACTCTCCCAAGGCGCAGCGAACGAGACTACAACCAGCTCTAATTGTTTCCTTGGCACCAATGCTCTCTGGGCCGTCCCCTGAGAGGGCGGGGTTAACCTCGACCTTGTGGATGTTAGTGGAGGCCAAGAAATAATGGAAGGAGCCATACAAGGTCCATAGCCACAAGATATCCAGTCTCATGTATAACTTCGCAGATAAAGTCTCCTTCTCTCAAGGTGAGTCCACCGCGTACGGGAGTGCCAGTGCTCGGAGCGCTACTGCTCCTTAGTAGGAGAAGGGTACAAGCAGAAAAAAATGAAAAAAAAAAAAAACCTACACATATGGGTCCAAGGCGTCGACGTCGAAGCTCAAGTGAATGGGCATACCCTCTTGCCCGGGACCGCAATTGATGTGGTCAAGAGCCATATCCATAACCTTGCCAATACCGTACCTGTCAATATCGTGCATGCTGAAAGCGCGGATACCATGATCCTTAAGGATCTTTTTCTCTGGAATGTCGACATCGCGAAGACCGATATAGACAATGTTGGAAGGGTTGACTTTATGTTCATCCTTGATCCAACCAAAAATGTTAGGGTTTTCCTTTGGTGCCTTGGTAATCCCGGTCAAGAAGGAAACTGGCATGCCATGAATATTTCCGGAACCGGAAGATTCAGGAGTGTTGATATCTGCATGGGCGTCAACCCAGATGAGTGCCATTTCAGAGTTGTGACGTTCGCGTATCGCCTTTGCGGTACCGGAAACAGAACCAATAGCAATAGAATGATCACCTCCCAGGGTGAGAACAAGGCGTCCTTTGGAAGCGTGCTCGTAAACCTGGTCACAGAGGGTATGTGTAACATTGGAGACAGAAATTGGGTTGATCATGGGAGCCTTTGCTCCAGCCACATGCAGAGGAAGGTCAGTTCCCGGTGCGGGAAGATGTTTTGCATAACCGTGTACAATCCCATCATGATAGAGAGTGTATTCCAAAGTCTCCTGAATGTCGGTCAAGAGCCCAGACTCAATCAAAGCAGAGGGAGCGGCATCGACCCCAGATTTGCACTACTCAACAGATCAGTGAGGCTCAAAGGTACCAAAACTGACAAACCTCCCTCAAATGAGCTGGAAGCTCAAGGGGGCATCAGGAAAGCAGCAATAACACAAAGGGGGACAAATTCCCAAACATACCTGGCCACCTGAGAAGCCAACAGCAACTAATCCAAGCTGGTCCTTCGCAGGAAGGAACTTGGTAGCAATGGTAGAGGGGGCAGTCATTTTGATAGTTGTTTGAATGAGAGACGCTTTTTTTTAGAGAGAGAAATGATAAGAAAGATTGCAGCGGGGTGAGTAGAAAGGCAGGAAGGGGGGCAAGAAGGGAAAGGAGAAAAGGTTTGTGGGAGGATCAGGAAGATAAGAAGGATGGAAGGGAGACCCAAGAGAAGGCATGGGGTAGAAAGGAGGGAGGTAACTTACGCGATTATCAGTTGATAGTAACCTATGGAACGTAGGCACAGCAGTGGGGAAAGTAGGCACGAGCTGTGAGGCTCGAGGGACGACAGGAGCAGTGGGGAGGGAGGGAGAATACCGGTAGAGAAGAAATAGAGGGGATCTCGGTTCCTTAAATCATGCTTCCCCCATCTAGTCTCAACCCCACTACTACTGCTCCACCACCACCAGGGACCAACTGCCAATACATACTCAGTACAATCTCCCGCAAAGGGCCACCCTTCCAACCCATTTCCTCCGTCCCAGCTTGCGCCGAAGCCAAGTGTGCGGGTCACATGGAGCACATAAGGAACATCACCAAACCGGGCAACCCACTTCACCCCATACATACACATTCAGATACGGCACAAAAGGCTATCAACGGCCTCGACATTCCTCCCCCACTTCGGGCTCTCGTTTTGCCTTTTTCCATTCCATCCTTTACGTAAACCGTATGGAACGCTTCCATCCCGCTCGGTCTTATCGAATTATCGCGTCTAACACTTAGAGGTAGGTGCAGCCCTTGATGGCGGTATGAATAGGAGCCTAACACTTAGAGGCAGTCAAGTCCGGGAGCGCAGCTGGTAAGCTCGCGTGCGATTGAACTTAGGGGAATTGAGGGGGTTTTATCATATTTCGGCTTTTGATCGACCCCTCATTTCGTGATTGAAGAGATTGGTGCATAGCATGGGGAAGGAAGGTGTAGGGTAGGGAACAGGGATTGGAGTTATGCCGCTGAGATGCCGCAGGTATGTGCATGGCACCTCCTTAGATAGTTCTGGATTGTCTTTTTTTTTTAAAAAAAAAAAAAAAAGCGAGAAAGTAAAAAGAGCCCCCATTCCGAGCCTTCGATGTCGAGGTTTTTCCTCGACTAATTGAGTGGGGGGGGGAGAGAGAACCCTCCTTAGTAAACCCAGCACCAACACTATTGAAGTACGGTACGAGTATCACCATATTCATATCATAGAGGTAGCTGCAGGGCTGGGGTGGATTTAATTAAGGTTTCTCAGCTCAGTTCAATCCTACCGCCAGACCACAAGGAACCGTGGATATCCGATGGACATGACCACCTCTCTCCCGGGATCAAGAAGCACAAGGATACTTGGTCCCGCCGGCACAGCAAGGATAGAGTACGGTATACCGGTACGGTAAGACAAGATAAGATAAGAAGGACCCAAAAGATACCCGTAATTACGTCCTGATACGGGAACGATTTGGTTACATCAAAATCAGCAGCGGGGTGTACAGTAACGCCCAGAGCTGTCACCATGATGGGGGACGAGCGCAATGAGCCCAGACGTGTATTTCCCATCATACCTCGGTAATAGCGAGAAACTGGTGCCCGACACGGCGACACAGCTACCGGTAGCAGGAATCTCAGGTGTGCACGGTAACCGAATTAGACGGTAAATATATAATACACACGACACGACAATTCACTACAGTAGACTATCCCTCAGCGCAATCATACTTGTATGACGTTGAATAACCTGCAAGTTTTTTACCCTCAGGTTTAGCGCGGCCCTCCCCCGAATTAGCAGTAGGTTAACGGTAATAAGCCAAGCCTGTAGCCCAATAACGGCCTCACCCTCGCATCGCGATTCGCGATCGGTGAAGGGGGGTGGGTCGCAGAGCCCCATCGCTTCCTCACCCGCCCCCCTCGCTGTCAACCATGCTCCCGTTGCATACGGTACAAGTACTGTACGATACGAGTAAATTATGACACAAGTATCGTAATTCAGAAACCCAACCAACCGGGGAGCGGTCGCTAAAGGTTAGGTTTTGCCTCGACTCCCACCCATCCATTGGGCTTCCGTCGGCGTCCACGACTCGTACCAATACCATCCATTATCATAATTATCATATCATACCGGTACCGTATCCGTACCACACGCGTGGTAAGTTTAACCTCCGCCCCCCCCCCGCACAAGACCACTACCACATACCATTACCACCACTACCATTGCCACCGCCATCACCACCCCTCACCACCACCACCACCGCAATGTCGTTCTTACTCAAAACTACCACATCAAATAAATATCTCTATTTCTCTGCCGGTACTTTTCTTCCTCACCCCCATCCATCCCCCTTACTCTGCCTCTTCACCCGGCTAACGGTAAAAATTTTATTTTAAAAAAAAAAGGCCTACTAGCATTATACGCCATCTACACTACTCACTCCCAACTCAGCAGGTTCCGTTTGAGATGTGTTTCGAAGCCGAAGGTGATGCCCCCCGATGCGGGTGTTGACCAGACGACGGAGGATGGTATGTTTTTTTTTATATACTTCGTTTCATTTCATTCTTCTAGCCCGCAGTACGGAGCGAGGAAAGCAGGAGCTGATTGCGGGGGGAGTGGAAATGCAGCAATCAAGTTAGAAACATTAGAGACTCTAGCCCGGGGTATCAATGTTGATATTCGTAATGCGTACTTCCCCCTACAGACACACGCGCGCACACACGCACACACACGCATGTACAATTCCCAGCCCACCGGCTAACAAGGAACCCACCAGCGCCCTGAAAATCATAACCGACCGCGCGACAACCGACGAAAACATCGTTCACCTCCTCTCGCAGGTTGGCTCCTCCACACCCTCGCAGCGCCTGCGTTCGCTCCGCGCGCTGCGCTGCTGCACCTACAGCACGACACTGCACAAGCTCTGCCAGAAGCCTACCTTCAGCGCGCTCGTCAGCTGCCTCAACAGTACCCTCCCCACCGACGAGAACCCCGCCGGCGACCCCTTCAGCGAGAAGGAGGCGCTCTATATACTCGCGAGATTGATGGGGCTCTACTTCATCGCCAGGGAGATGCTGGTCGACGCGGGATTTGTGCACTGGCTGGCTAGGGCCAAGGTCCCCGGATACGCGAACGTGGTGGAGGCCGTGTTTGACACCGAGGGCGTGGATCTGGTGGATCCGAGTCTTGTGCAAATCGTCAGCGTGCTTGAGGAGAGCGTTGAGGCTAGGGGCGCACTGGAGGATGCGGGATTGATGTCGAGGCCCGGGGATGCGCGTGGCGGAGGAAGCCCGGCTGAGGAGGGGAGGGTTGGGGAAGGGAGTGAGGAGGGGGGGAGGGACAATGGGCAATTGGAGACGCTGGTTAGAAATGTCTTCATGGGCTTCGGGAGGGAGCGCGCGGGCAGCACCGATGGCGTCATGGGGCCGGCGCTTGATGAGTTGCTGGACGATGAGGCCCTGGTTATGGCGGGGTGGAATGAGGAGGTGCTTGATCTGTGAGCTTGGTCCTGGAGGACACGCTAGACTACCCCTTTTGTACCGTCATTTACGGAACTGTATACCCGATTACCCTTCCTGTATATCAATTCAGCGCAAGCACCCTTATAAACTATAACCTCGCTCTAAATACACCCGCGGCACCGCTTCCGCTCCTCTCTCTAAGCCTTTCCCAGGCCATCTCCACCTCCCTCGCTCCATCATAGGCAAACAGGAAATTCCGAAACGCCGGATCCCTCCATTTGTTTGGGAACCCGGGCTTGATGTCGTCCGCCAGCAACACAGCATCCCTCCTCTTCTGCTTCTCCCCGTCCTCCATGTGGAGGATATCCCTCATGTCCGTGCTCCCCGTCACAATCTTCGTAGTCCGATTCTTCCTCAGGCCCTCGTAAGCTCGGAGCAAGGCCGGCAGCTGCGACCGATCCTCCAATTTCCCGAGCAATCCCCCCAACACCCCCCCATCCTCCACGGCTATCGCAGCGCCCTGAGCTAGATATGGAAGCGTAGCATGACAGGCGTCCCCAAGTAGCGCGAACTTCCCGGATGGGTGCGTCCACGAGGCCATTTCCGTGCCGTTTTGCAGACGCCATTTGCTGACACTGGAAACCAGGCTGATCATCTTTTGTAGTTTTGGGTCCCAGGATTTGAAGAACTCGAGAACCTCGGTGGGGTCGGCCGACATAACGTTGACGCCCCCGGGCATGTTGTCTGGGCAGATCAGGACCATGTTGTAGTAGCCCTGGTCTTTCAGGAGGTAGCAGACTGCGTGGGCATTCGGGCCTGTGGGTGTCTGGGTTAGCCCTGCGTCAATCGTTCTTGAGAAAGAGGGCATATCTCACCCATCCAGGTGTTGATTGCGGGTTTGTTAACGAATTCTTCGAGGTCTTTATGCTTGCGCATTTCCTCGGCTTTTACGAGTATCCGGTATGCAAGGTCGCCCGTCAAGTGCGGGGGATCCGAATGCCCCAGAAGCTGTTCGCGGCATCTCGACTTCAGTCCGTCGGAGCCAACAATTAGATCCGCCCCTATCGTGCCTCCGGTAGAAAGCGTCACGCTGGGGGCCTCAAAGTCGATCTTTATCACCATTGAGTTGATGCGGACTTCTACAGTTAGCCTCTACTCCTAGTCGATTGGGATGGCGAAGGCGAGGAACTCACTCCTGACACCAATGGTTTGACACTTCTCCAACAATACTTTGTGAAAATCCGCCCTGTGGCAGTGCCAATAAGGCCCTCCATAGACCTCCTCTGTGAGCGGGACTAATGGTTGTTCATTGAGTATGCCCCCATCCCGATAGCTGCGGAACCGCATTACCTCCGGGAGGACCGACACCCGATCCATTGCCTCGCGGAGACCCCATGATATTAGGAAGCGTGACGAATTAGGGGGTACTTGTATGCCCGCTCCTACCTACCCACCATCAGCACACCTCACGTCACCGCCCAAGTCATAGTAGGGAAGGAAGGGATACTTCAGAAAGAGTAGAAGCTTGCTCTAGCACGAGTACCTCATGTCCAGCAAGTCTAATCGCAATAGCAGCCGATAAACCGCCCAAGCCCGCGCCGACAATCAATACGTTAAGTCGTGGTTTTGGCATCTTTAGGTGCATAGACTCTCAACGGTGCCGGGTGGGTTCGCAGTGGGCATATATAGTGGTAAAGCGGAGTATGATATTCAAAGACGCACGCCTCGTGAATTGGCATCTGACCCCATAGCTTAACAGCACCATATTATACAGTACCACCATATTATACCACCATACAGCAATGACCGCCCATGCCCCCCGCCTCCATCGCGTAGCGCTTCCGATGATCCGCCACTCAAAAGCCCAGATCTGGGTTTTTTTTGGATGAACCCCCGGAAGAGACCTCATTTCAATATTTTTTGAGGGATGACCGCTGCACACTCCGAACGCTGGGAGGAGATGGTGGATTTCCCAAACCGGTACTACCCTCCTAGAGCAGGGAGGTGAGGCGGAGAAACTATAAAGGAAAAAATGGAAGCAAAAGAGAAAAGGAAAAAAGGAGGCATCATATCGGTATTAGAGATCGGCAGAGAAAGTGGGGCCAGAGGGATTTGGGGAAAGATGTGGAGCGGAGTGAAGTGGTGCTTTGGCCTGTTCTAGGGGGGGGGGGGATATGGTGGCAATGCGAGCTCTCTTATCGCATCGTATTGCTCGTAGGAAGGAGGTGTGGGATAGAGGAGAGGAAGGGAAGAAGTGATGGGTGACGAGGTTGCAAGAGCAAGTGAGTGTCTTTAGGCAGCCTCGAAAGATGTGGGGAACGGTATCACGCAGTGCGGTGCTACGGAATATTCGAGTATGCAAAGTACGAGTACTTGCACCAGCACTGCATACACGCACGCGTCCACAAAGCACGCGAGAGACAATTCATGATAACGGCACGGCAACGAGACAAATAGGCTTAGTTCCCCTTGCCCATTGCCGGCAGCACGGGTAACTTACTGGTGTAGGGGGGTTGTGCTGAATCACTTTGTTGCTGAACGTTTACATGTTAAAAGGGATTGTACAGTACGTACTCTCACGGGGAGTCGGCCGTACTTGCCGCTTTCAAAAGTATCCGGAAATCGAGGTCGGCTTGGCGGCTATTGTCCCCTTCGGTTCAACTACTGTATGTACTCGAGTACTCGAGTACTCGGATACAAGTAGAAGAATCAAGACGGTAAAGTAGTGCAAATGCGCGCAATGAAGGAAATAGTGCAGTCGTCCGTGCTGCCAAGCCATTTGCCCGATTTCCGGATACTATTGGGAGGGGCAAGTATGATAGTCTGCAGTACGAGCCACCCCAGAGCTTTCACCACTCTCCTACCGGTACTGCGCTGTGCCCCCAATCGCTCGCGCCGTGTTCCAAGCCCTCCTCCACAATCAAACATTCCATGATTCCTCTCTCCCAACCTCCGACCACTCAATCACAATCCCACCTCGCTTCCATAACCCGGCGGCCATCATACCGTCCCGTGCGGCACCATACCGGTCGTTCACACCATCTTAATTCGTCCATTTCCTTTGCCTCATAGGAATATTCCAGAAAGGAATACTACTGCATCGGAAGCGCTTCACGGCAGAATCCCACACTGATGTGGATTTAATTATCGGCTGCACACATCGGCAATATCCCGCTATGTGTGATTGTGGATTATTTTTCAGATATGGTATGTATAATTTTTGACTTTATGCTGATCTGGTGTTGCTCCTTGCTCCTTGGGAATTGCCTAGACCCTTGAACGGTATGGACATTGTGCCGCGGTACTCGTACAGTATAATACCGATACTAGTGCAATACCTGAGCCTGAGTGGATAATACCACGCTGATCTTCCCGGTGCCGCTTGCACAATAGTGTCACCACTTGGGTAAGAAATTGTACTCGAGTACTCGTACCCTCTTTGCTACCGTATCATAAATGTTCTCCCCCTGTTATTTTCCGGGAGGCTCCGATAGAGATAGAGTACGGTACCGTACCGTAACTCGTGCAATACCGGTACTCGAGTACTAGTACGAGTACTCGTACTGTGCACGGATGTGTCCATAGAAATTGGAAGGAGAGATACCCCTGTCCCGCGGTGGCAGCTACTATACTCGAGTACTAGTACCGTACAAGTACCAGAGGAAAAAATGATCCGGAGACGGGGGGGGCTTTAGTGAAACAAATAGCGGCAGACTAAGTAGTTGATGAAGGACGAGATGAGAAGGAGGAAATGAACCCAAGAGTCTCAAATGTTATAGCGGCAAGGAGAAGAATACGAAGAAGAAGAAGAAGAAGAAGAAAGGGAGATCTTGGCTCCGTAAAAATACTGAGCACGAGTGTTGGGTAGTACAAGTATACCGTAGGGGGTTGTATGTCAGGCAGGGCGGGGGGCGATAACACTGCAAAAACTAACCTTCTCGGCCCCAGCTTGAAGGGAAGAAAAGGAAAAAGCTGCAGCACCCCACCAGCAGAAAGGCAACTCCATCGTCCTGGGGCGAGGTTCAATTATTCAACACACAGTGTATCGTTTATCTTATACCTAAGTAACCTTATTCTGAGTTTCGTGTATGAGTATTTTTAAAGGCCCTTCGATCCTACATTAATCGATACAGTTTTCATGTCTCTTTCGTGGCTTGTAAGTCTCATACTGGTACTTGTACTTTCGCCCTTTAGTTCACAATCATGTAAGATCATTCGGCGCAACCTAGCCTCCTTTAAAGATGTCTATCAACAATGAGTGATTCTGTGCAACCGCATCTCCCGATGTACTCGAGTATCCGATGCCTCTTTTTCATCGTCACCGATTTTTGTGGACACCCACCCTACGAAGATGGATCCTTGTAACGTCAAGATTCCCGCATTGATGGATTTGACGGACGAGAATATCACGGCAAACACTGTTATCGTAAACTCACAGGGCCCAGATGCACGCTTGCAATATCTTATGGAGCGGCTGGTGACGCACTTGCACGATTTTGCTAGGGAAACACAGTTAACGACGGACGAGTGGATGAAGGCACTAGCCTTCTTAAAAGACGCAGGCCAGATTTCCTCTGATACCCGTCAGGTAGTTTCCCCTCCCCACCCGCTCTCTCCCAATTTCAAGTGAGTAACGACGAAATAGGAGTTCATTCTCCTATCAGACGTCCTCGGCCTCTCAAGCCTCGTGGAGTCAATCAACAGCCCCAAGCCCGCCAACGCAACGGAGGGCAGCGTCCTTGGCCCATTTCACACCAACAACGCACAATTCACCGAGAATGGGGATTCAATCGCGAGCCCGGACAAAGGGGAGCCTTGTCTCGTTCGCTGCACGCTAGAGGACACATCCGGCCACCCAATCCCTGATGCCACCATCAACGTGTGGGAAGCTGACAATACGGGGCGGTACGACACCCAGTACGAGGGCGAGACAGGCCCGGATTGTAGGGGTATCTTGAAGAGCAATAAGGATGGGGAGTTCTGGTTCAAGTGCGTGAAGCCGGTCCCGTATCCGATTCCGCACGATGGGCCAGTGGGAAAACTTCTTGGGACTCTGAGGAGACATCCGTTCCGCCCCGCGCACTTGCATTTCATGATTGAGAGGGAGGGGTTCAATCCGCTTATAACGCACCTCCCTCCATTCCTCCCCCTCCTCTTTCTGGCCAATCAACGTGTCAACTAACTATGGGAAAGTGCACTCTACCTCCGTGGCGACCCCTACGAAACCTCCGACGCAGTATTCGGAGTAAAATCTTCCCTATTAGTCACCCCGCATAAAGTCCAGGACCCAGACATTGCAGAAAGATACAGCGTCAGTGTTGACGACTGGGACATACAGTGGGGTTTTGTACTCGTTGGTGAGGCCGAAGGGAGGCAATCGAAAGAGTGATCCCTTGTGCACAGTAAGGATTGCATAGGTATGGTTCCAGACGGGACAAAGCCCACCCTTGAAGCCAACTTGGTACAAAATTTCTAAATCGGTAATAGCCGTAATAGCCTCTTCTTTAGAAAATTAGTGTGGTTTCCTCCAGCACAACACTTTAAATGATAAATTTGATCCATGTTCTTTCCGCTCTCACCTAAAGTCGTACGGGAAGTCGATGTCGTGGTTGGTGTTGAAACCGGGGGTTAGGGATGTTGAATATTTTATTAAACAGTCCATCATGAGTGCTGATAATTTGGTATTTAGTAAGTTGTGCCCTGGTTTTCCAAGGTTTTCGGTGACGGGCGCCATTGTACGAGTACTCGAGTATCATAGGTGCGAAGCACTGTGCAAGTACCATACCAACACTAATACAAAGATTTTGTACGGTATGGCATCATAAATTGATTGCGGGAGCCTGAGTGCCCACACCGGTAATTAGTATAACAAGCTCAGACTAAAAAGCTCGGGTATCATACTCCATCCCCACATACTATGCAACACTCGAATGCAAGAGAAACTATGCAACGCTCGAATGCAAGAGAAGTGTGCTAGGATGTTTTACTGTACCGCAATGGCCTCTCCGAGTGTTATATACTACATACAATCCTACGGTATATGTATTGCCTCAACTGGAGGCTCGGTTTGCGGTGACTTCTCCACCACCCCCAAACGGGAATTTCCACGAACCCAACTCGTTCCTCTTTTTTTATTCAAGTGCAGCATATAAATGGCGGGAATAGCGGGACAGCGGTATTCCCCACTGAGAAAAATACAACGGTATTCGGGGCAATGATGAACCACCCAAAAGTATCTAAAATCCTAGAGATCAGATAGACGGTTTGAGAAATTTCTCGCCAGACGAGTCCCCATCGATAACTGCTGGAATTGGGATCACCAGTGACAGCACCATCCTAACGGGCACTTTCTGGCGAGGCAACGAGAAAGGTTTCTGGGTTGTGATCCCACCTGAAGTACCGGTAGCCGGTGGAGCAGGGGTGATGTCTATCACCAAAACGAGGAGAGACAAGGTGGAGAAGTAATAGGATCGGTCTACTGAACTACCTTCACCTCGACGGCGGACTCCCGGTTGATATCAATGTGCAGGAATTCCTTGTTTTGGGGTGTAACTAGGGTTGTCCCACTTTTTTTTTCTTTTCTTCACTCGTATGAGTTAACAGTGTCGTGTTAATACCAGATGCGAGTTGAAAAGAAAAACGGAGCATGATAGATACGGGTAAGCGGGAGTCGTCATGTACTTGTACAATACTGTACGTTACTAAGTATATTAAATTTATCTCAGAAACGCAAGGCGACGCATGGTATGACAAGAATTTATGAAATCGGGCTCCGGAGCAGACCAGTCCACCGGGATTACCTGAAAAGAAAAAAAAATCTCCTAGAAACCCTCTAGAGTCTCCGGCTCGCCACTCCCGAGGAAGGCGAGCACCAATGCAACTGGGATTTGTTTCTGACTTCTATCGTCCTTCCTTTTCCGACGAGTTTGGTTGCCGAAGTGTGCTAGTACTAGTGAATCATTGAGTTACCGGTACCGGCACTGTACCGTACTGTGCTGCACTGCGCCGGGAGGCCAGGATTCGATAAATGGGATCCAGCATTGGCTGGATATGTAAGGGAATTCCCTGGACTCCTCTCCCTTCCAGGTTGTTGCAAATAGATGGGCGGATATCCCGTTTTTGGGATGTCTGGTTGGTCGGGCAGTAAGGGTGGGATTGGGTCTCGGTGACATCTGTACTCGAGTACTGTGCTCGAGCACGGGGAGGAAGCTGTGATTTTTCGGCCATTTCTCAGCCGTAATTGGGTAATTCCAGCTATTATATGATGTCAGAACGGCAATCCATTCTTGCTAGCCCTAAGCTTCTGTGCATGGCAAGTTTGGCGCGCTGTAGTTCCCAGAGCTTGCGCTTAGGGGCTGCACTGTCATTTGAGCTGTCTGTCATCAGAAAAGGAGTTTTGGGTCCGAAATCGTGTTCTGAGATGACGAGTCGTGTTTGGCGCATCGTTATGAGGACACCTTTTGGTGAGATTTCAATATGGTTGTCTGGATTAATATGCGTTATCGGCTTGTTAAAAGGCACATAATACTTGTAATGCCTTCAATCTGCGAGACATGAGAGATATTAAGCTAAATAAGGTACTTGCCATTTTAGACACGTTTAGCTTAATACTTGTATGTTTTTAAGGTGGCCAGTGTCTACTAGTAAAGTGGCCGTGGGCAGTATTTCCTGTTTGGGAGGGAGCTCGGCTGGTGGCTCCACCTTCCTCTGTGGGAGACGGGGAACGAAAACAGAAACACCTCGCATCGATAAGCAATTGGACAACGTTTCCTGTCAGTCTGAATCGGGTTCTGTTTCTTCGCTTTTTCTACAAGCATTATACCTTCACCGCCGTGTTGTCCTGCCCCCTTCTCTAGTCAATTCCCTGCAACTTATCCCTCGGTATGATATATCGCATGGTCATGGTACCACTTTTCGTAGAGGCGCCAGCTCGGTCGAGGACATCATCCAATCCTGGAAGTTGACTGAGACACTTTCACGACGGTGTGATAAATGGCCTCTGAGCACAGCACCGGTATCTACGTACAGTATTGTGCCCCTATGTACCCAAGCGCTTGAAGTTGGCAGCTTTTTGTGTGGTACGCTCACGTGACTGGTGATTTCTGCCTCCAGCCTCGTACCCTACCGCACAGTGCAGTACCGGTACCGGTGGTGTGGAACGTGGGGTAAGACGCCAGAGCTCGGTGCGGCATTGGTGCAGTATTTGGCCACTCTACTGTTACTGGTACTGTATACCGGTATCTCAGGGCTTCATAGAAACAGTGATTGGCAATTTTTTTTTTTTTTGTTAAATCCTAGAATTTATTTGCTTATATAGGTGCAAACCTCTGCTTTAAAGGCGCAGTCCGGCTAAAACATGGATCCTTCCACCAGGGCACCTCTGTAATAACCGCCCCACACCCCCGTTTTGGCCCTCAGGCATGTCGGTCAAAAACCTGCTCCGCAGGCCTAGGGAAAAACAAGCCGCCCCAAGTCCCTCTGGTATGGGACCAACCGCACATCCTGCTGTAACAGACAGGGTCTGAGGGTCGGGTAGCCCAAGGCACACCACGATCAGTATAGGCAGGAATCTGGAGACGAGGTC